GGATCCTGGGACTGTGCAGCTGGCCCAAGGCCACCCAGGTTGGCTCTACTTGCAGAAGGCACACTGAAGAATCAAACTCCCAGCCTTGGGCTCTGCAGCCAGATACCTAAACCACTGAGCTATCTAGTAAATCACTTTTAAAAAAATCCAGAGGTTTCTTTGTAGGTGCTCCTGAGTTTGGGAATCCCCCCCACACACACACAAACACACATACAAGAGAGGTGAGGTTGGCTCCATCATTTCTGAGCTTTCTTGTAGAGATACAGCATTTCTGTCTCATTACAGTTTCTCTGTGATTGTTTAAAAACTCTCTTTAAATGGCATTTAGTCTGCAGTGAAAGAACGTTTAAATATCTTTTGTGGCCCATGGCTTTGGGGCCCCTGCTTGGCCAGGAAAGCAAGGGATAAACCCTTCTAATAAAATAATGAATGTACTGTATTGGAAAAATTTTGTGGGGGCTTTCTCTCAAGCTCCTTAAACATCTTGAATTAATGTTAAGGGTTAAAGTTGCGTACACTCTGGGATGTGATCCAAGGGTGTCTGGAAGGAAGCAGGCAGAATTGCCCTAATTAGATTGGAGAGGATGGGTCCTTTAGCCAAAGCATGTTCAGGCTTTCTCTGGCAACCTTTGATACCGGGTTGGAAAGTGGAGTAGAAACCGTGTGCAGGAAAGAAGATAACAGCCGTTCACCTCGGGCTCGCTCAGCAAGAAGGGGGTGTTTGTGGCAGGTTTGTCTGAGCGCCTACCAGCTCGTAACCTCTTTTTCCTCTTGGTTTCGGCTTCTAATTTCATGTCAGTAGACACAAGGGATTGCTAGAAAGTCTTCTGAATGCTTCAAAGCAGGTCTCTGCTTTGCTTTGCTTTTGTTCTCAACTATCTTCGGAAAAATCAGGAGTGATCAAGGATAAAAAGTGGACTTTGGGATGCCTGACACCGAGTGTGTTGTCACGACTCGTCGCCTCCTGTTGATCTGTGATATTTTGTTGGCTTTCGCCTGGAAGTTGGTGTTTCGTTTTGACTTTCCTGTATGTTTTGCACTTGCATTTTAGCAGGGTGTGTATTTGGTTACTGCTTCTTTGCCAAGAGTATATACATGGTGCCTCGCAAGACGATTTTTATTTGTTCCGTGAAAATTGTCGTCTTGTGAATTCGCCTCCTGTTCATCTGTGATATTTTGTTGACTTTCGCCTGGAAGTTGGTGTTTTGTTTTGACTTTCCTGTACAGTTTGGACTTGCATTTTAACAGGGTGTGTAGTTGGTTACTGCGCCTTTGCCAAGAGTATATACGTGGTGCCTCGTAAAATGATTTTAATTCATTCCGCAAAAGTGTCGTCTTGTGAAAAAATCGTCTTGCGAGGTTCCCTAGGCATCGGTCTCAAAAAAAAAGTCTTGCGAAGCATCAGTCTAAAAAAAGTCTTGCGAAGCACGGTCATAGAAAAAAAAAAGTCTTGTAAAGCACCATAGTAATCGCAAAAACCAATAGTCTTGTGGGTTTTTTGTCCCACAAGGCAATCATCTAGCAAGGCACCACTGTACACTGAGTTTGGCAAATCTGTTTTGTGGTTAAAACTACCACAATCCCTCAGCTGATGTGGTCACTAGCTCCTTTTACCTCCAAATGTTTTTCCAAAACATGAGAAATTGCTGTCCTCTAAACTCTTTGAAACTGGATCGTCATATGGCGAGTGTGAGTAGAAAGTAGATTTGGATCTAGCAGTAGATCTCTAGGTGATTTCCAGTACATAAGCAAGGATTTTTAAGCCCATGCTGCAAATAACAGCAGTGAAATGACTCTCTCCCACCCTGTACTGCAAAAATAAAGGAAAGTTTGGGCTAAGCCAGAGTTGAAGGTTTTTTTTTGTGTGTACAGGAAATATTAATCTGTTTAATCTTAGCAATAAAAAAACCAAATTCCCAGGGTCAGAATCCCTTAATTATAAACATATGCTTTTTCTATCTGGCTCCTGTTGGTGGGGTCTCTGGTTATCTGAAAATAAACAAAAATACTGCAGGCTTTAAGTATGCTCCATACGGATCATGGGAAAGTTTCCTCTTTTTTTGGACTACAACTCCCATAATTCCTCAGCCCACGTGCCACTGACTGGAAGATTCTCAGAGTTGCCCTCCAAGAGTTCCCATAATTCCTCAGCCCACATGCCATTGACTGGAAGATTCTCAGAGTTGCCCTCCAAGAGAACGTTTTCAAGATCTTTCCCATCCCCACCTGTGCCTTATGGATACAGGTGAGGATATCCAGTGTCTTTTGGGGGGAGAAGTTGTTTGTAACCTGTGTGACATTATAATACTGTCGGACATACGGGAACATCTGCAACTTCATTCTCCACTTCTTAACATGCGTCCCCAACATTCTTGCCCTATTTATCTAAGGCTGCCATCTTATCTCTTAGGAATAGATGGCTCACAACAATGAGGTTACAAAAGATTGGTGCCTACCTGGCTGAAATTATCCTCTGAAACTGTGTCCTGAGTTATTCTGCGATTATAAGCAGCTTTACATGATCGACTCTAAGCATTATTTTTTTAAATGTGAAATTCCTTAAATAACTTCTGAGGCTTTTGACTGCTGTTCTGTGTCTTTTTTTTTATTCCTCCATGAGTAGATTGTGTAGTTGGCTGGCTACGTAAAACTGCCTTGAAGGTCAGAATGATTTAGGTGATCCTAGAACTGCAGGGCTAGAAGGGACCCTGTGGATCACTAAGTCTAGCCCCTCTCAGGGAGGCACAGTGAGAATCAAGCTCCCAACCTCTGGCTCCGCAGCCAAAGACCTAAACCACTGATTTATCTGACTTTTTGCCTCCTCTGGAGCTTCCCTTAAAAGGATTGTCACCCCATTATGATCAGGCAGGCTCTCCATGTGGGGTTTCCCTCTGGCAGCTGAACACGCTCTTCGTTTGCCTAGGCTTGTTCCTGATCACTCTTCCTTGCCAGATGATCTTAATGGAACATATTAAGAGAGAGGCAGGTTGATTACTTTATTATTTTATCAAGGTGGCTGTATTGGTAGGTAGGTATGAGTTCGATTCCCCACTGTATGTCTCAGGAGAAGAGCCAGCCTAAGTGGCCTTGGGCAAGCTGCACAGTCCAAAAGGACCCAGAAATGCCAGTGGTCTCCAGTGGTAGATCATAGTATAGCCTTTCCCAGCTTGGTGCCCTTCAGACAGCCCAGACTGCATGTCCCATTGTTCCCAACCAGGATGACAATTGCCATTTTAGAAATCTCTTTCTCCCTCCCTCTCTCTCTGAAATAGGTTCCTGCTGAAATAGGTGATAGCATCTGGCCCAGATGCCTTCAAAAGGGGACGGGACAGATTCCTGGAGGAAAAGTCCATCGCAGGTGACAGGCCATGAAGGGGATGGATAATCTCCAGGCTTAAGAGGAAGGTAGCTCTGAAAGGCCAGGTCCAGGGCAGGGGGATCAGGAGACAGGGATCTCGTGGTCTCTCGTGGGCTCCCAGAGAGAGACAGGAAGCTGGATGAGATGGGCCCTTGGCCTGATCCAGCAGGGCTTTTCTTATGTCCTTATGTTCTCTTTTGTTTCCCCTTGACAGGATGTGGGGGCATCAGCTGACACGCCTGTTTTCCAGCTCCCACTGCCTGCTGAAGAAAAGTTTTAAGCCCCAGGTCCTGTTGTGGCCGCTCGGTTTCAGGAAAACCCTTCCAGGTTTGCCACGCTGGCATAACACAGCATCAGAATCCCGAAACGGTGGCTGGAAGTTAAAAGAGGACCACTTGGGTGAGGGATTTGAAGGTTGAAGGGCTGTGGGCAGAGGAGTGCATTGATGCCTTCCCAGAAAAAAAAATCCATGGTGGAATGATAACTATATGATATATATATATTTGGTTTTGTATCCTGAGGGATGGGCAGGATGTAGCCCCCCCCAGCTTCCTGCAGGTCCTCATTTTTTTAAAAAAAAAATGCAAAAACAGTTTGCTCAGAAAAAAATAAATTCTTACATCCATGCCAACACAGACTGGCAAAGTGACCTTGTGAATGACATGGAAACGGGTCCTCAACCAGGTACTGATTCTTCTGAGGTGCTGAATTGAGATTAGTGTGGGCACCAGTCAAGACTCCAAGAGGAGAGCATTCCATAACTGAAGGGCTACCGCTAAGAAAAGCCCTCTCTATGCTCTCTAGCAGGACATGGAAGCGCCCACCCCAGCAGATCTTAGTGAGCAGCAGGTATAGTTAGATTTTTTTTTTTAAAAAAATCTTGTCCACTAGAGCAATGGTCCCCAACCTTGGGCCTCCAGATGTTCTTGGACTTCAACTCCCAGAAATCCTGGCCAGCAGAGGTGGTGGTGAAGGCTTCTGGGAGTTGTTGTCCAAGAACATCTGGAGGCCCAAGGTTGGGGGCCACTGCACTAGAGGATGCAAGTGGATGCATTTAGGGGGAAAATAATAATTAAACTACTGTAATTTTTCCATTAACAAAAATCCATTGTAGTGACTTTAAAAAAAATTAAATGCAAATTAGGTTCTTTAGCCATGTCCATTAACTTTTTACAATTCAAGCTATCACCAAATCTGAAAAATAACCCTTGGCCGCTTTAAGATTGCCCACCCCAGTATATTTCTTGACAGAGTAAAATGCAGGGAGCTCATCTGAGATTTGCAATTTTTCAGAATTTATGCTGTGAGGCAGCTATTACAGTTTTGCACACATTTACACCATAAGGCACGCCAATAATGTTTTTGCATACAGTATTCTTGTCAACAATGCAATTTAATTTTCTCTTCAACTTTATGTTTGTGTTATTCTATGTTATTGTCACTATTGTAAACTACTCATAGTGACCACCAGTCAGAAGAGTGGTATAGAAGTCAAACGAACAAACGAATGAATGAACGAATGAATGAATGAATGAATGAATGAATGAATGAATGAATGAATGAATGAATGGTAAAAAAATGGCACTGGCTGACATATATGGTTGCTGCTTGTTCTCATACACAGCAACAAGACAAGTAAGGATTTTCAGCCCTAAAATACTGACCCAGAGACCACCTGGATTTTTAAATGTGCAATGCACTGCCATATAGCCATTGTGTTCATCGGAAACTGAAGGGGAAATTCCATATTGCTGTCTGTTCCAACTGCTGTCACCTGTGTTTTCATTTTAGAGGTGGAATATGGGGACACCCTCATGCGTTTTGACTACGTCTGGCTACGTGATCACTGCCGCTCAGCATCCTGCTATAACACAAAGACCAACCAGCGCAGCCTGGACACTGCTAGTGTGGATCTGGGCATCAGGCCCCAGACTGTCCGAGTAGATGATACCACGCTCTTTCTCACCTGTGAGTTTCTGGAGTCTGGTTTTTACGTGTGGAATTAGGACAAAAAGACGTGGTTCTGCAGGGGATTGCCGCATTTCTCAAATCAGTACTTGTCATGTTTCTGTTCTTGGGACCTCTGTTTTCATCCTCAGTGACCTCCAGTGGAAATGGTGTAAGCAATTCCTGCTGAACTTGTAGATATTGAAAAATTGTGGTGTTCAAACTTTTCTCTGCTCCACTTCCTGTAACTTCTGTATATCTTCGCCCGGGGCTATTTTCTCCTCCCAGGGATCTCTGAGGGGACGTCTACATTGACAGATAATGCAGGAAATGCTCCAGGATTGGGACAATCGGATTAGTGGTTGTTATAGGTTTTTAAGGTTGTTTGGCCGTGTTCTGGAGGTTTTTCTTCCTAACATTTCGCCAATCTCTGTGGCCGGCATCTTCAGAGGACAGGAGCCAGAACACAGAGTTCTAACAGCCCGGAAAACTTACAACAACCATCGGATCCAGCCGTGAAAGCCTTCAAGAATACAATCTGGTTCATATTATTTTCCCTTGACCACAGTTTTTCAGTGCATTCACATTGGTTCATGCAGTATGATTGTTCAAGCTGATGCAGCTTCCAGGCTGAGCAAGCAGCCAGAGGTTGGTTCTCCCAGCTTCCTCACTCAAGGTAGGGAGAGGAAATTCAAAGGGACGCTCATGGGGCTGTCAGCTCCCTTCAACTGAGCACCTCTTGTCTCCAAGCCACTTCTTATTATTTTCAAAGAGCTTGGTGCAAGTGCTGGCACACTAAGGCAACCAGAGATCGAATGAGAAAAAAAGAGTGGGGAGTCAGCACAAAGAAGGGAAGAAGTTGCAAACAGACAGAGCGTTAAGGTAGCGCTGATGTACCCTTGCCTCCTGCAGAACTGGATGACCCACGTATAGCTGTCTTAACAAGCTGTAAACAAGGCAGATGGCCAGTTTCCTCTTCTCTTTTCCTAAAGGGAACTCACCAGAGGAAACCCACCTTCCCAGGTGCAACCTCATAGCGGATCCACTCACACTTTTCCTGCAGTGTCATCACACCCTGAGTGGCTTAAGTGGCTGCACACTGACACTCTTTAGATCTCACACTGTTCTTGTGAGAAGGGAATCTGGACAGACAGCCTTGAATGATTAACATCATCTTTGGACAGAAATATGTGATTACATATCTGTCACAAACATTGGCAGCAAGCACTGCGAGAAGAGGCAGATGATGGTCCTTCTCCCCATTCTGTTTGCAAAACATAAGAATGATCCTCTTCTGTTCAGAACTGTTTCTAACATTTTGAAAAGCAATAAAGAGTCTCAGAACACCCAGACGTCAGTCAGGTTTTATCTGGCCTAAGTGTTTCAGGACTGCATCCCATTTTATCAGAGGTGGGGAACATTGCCTAAACAGGCAGCTATAGAAATGCATACGCATGTTTGTGGTGGGAATATAGTGGAGTAGAACTATAATGGGTACTGAGACTGGTAATTATCTTAACGCTGATGAATTAACAGACATCAGGAGAGGGTGTAATAAGGACAACATTTGTGATCCCCATGTCTGTGTTTTCCTCTGCCATCACCAGGGCCAGATGGTCATGTGACCCGCTACAGCCTGGAATGGCTGCTGAAGAACAGCTACGAGGGGCAGAAGCGGCAGGTGATGCAGCCCCGAATCCTCTGGAACGCCCAAATCTACCAGGAGGCCCAGGTGCCCTCTGTGGACTGCCAGAGCTTCCTAGAGTCCAACGAGGGCCTGAAGGAATTTCTCCAGAACTTTTTGCTCTACGGGATTGCTTTTGTGGAAAACGTTCCCCCAACCAAAGAAGACACTGAGATCTTAGCAGAGAGGATCAGCTTGATAAGGTAACAGGGGGGTGGTTCTAGTAACAGCCTTACCCATGTCAACCCTTAAATTTTATTTTCTTCTTCTTCTTCTTCTTCTTCTTCTTCTTCTTCTTCTTCTTCTTCTTCTTCTTCTTCTTCTTCTTCTTCTTCTTTTTCTTCTTCTTCGTTTTTTTTTTCTTTTTCTTTTTTTTTT